CACACACACACACATATATACACATATATACTTTATTCTTGTAATAGTTTGACTTTATTCCCATAATTTGAAAAAAAAATCTTGGAGTGTGGCCCTAGTACTCCGTTGTGTTGTTGTCGTAGACCAGAAATCTGGAGCTGACACTTTTTTAAATCACATTAAAAATGCTATTCCCAGCCTCKTTTTGAAGCTCCTCAAAAAGCTCCTTCAGATAAAAAGAGCTGTTTGTGCAGCAGATGTAAAGAGTTTGTTGCAGTGGCATTACGACATCTGTCAGTGACATAAATGCCATTTGGAAACCTGTTACACTCTGTCCTATAAGTCACATTTCAGTTATATTATGAGAAATGTGCTGCTGTCAAGACCCACTACCAAACAATCACTGAGAGCCTGTTATAGTTGTAAAGCTTTTGAAAAGGCCTGATTACCAATAGTTTTAGCTTCTATTTGCTTATTTTTTTCCAAGAAACTTAAGAAAACAGTTGATGTCAGCTTGAAAAAGCAAGTACAATATCGTTGCTCAAAGTTGCGTAATGATTGCACTATTTGGCTGCTGAGCATTTTTTTGTTTAAAGAAAATGTTTAGCTCCTAGACGTATATCTRGAAATATTGCCATCCACATACAGAAAGCAGATCTTTGTTAAGGGTTTATGCAATTTCAGTGAAATAYGTTCCAATAACAGAGCAGTCCAGGTGGCTCCGTAACTTCTCAGCTTATTTCAGGTTATAGTGAATAGTTTGATAATATGTCTTCTTATGCTCTTTTATAGCAATAAAGGGAGTTTTATACACACATGCTTATCTTCTGATCTCCCCTGGGTGCCAGAAACGTAAAACACAAACTCAAAAAAGAGTATCATAACAAAAAAAAAAATCTCCATTGTTTAAAAGCTCTTAAAAGAACGTGTTGTGTGGTTCCATATATTCATACACTAAATTGACATTGGGGCATCACTTTTGTTACAGACAGATGTTTTAGTGCAGCTGGATGAGATCATCTCTCTGAGCTTTAGGGAAAAAATAGTATACAAACATTTTTTCCCGAACCCACTCCTCAAAGTGAATGTTTACCCTCGTTCATTAACTCAGAAAGAGCAAATTAGTTCGAGATAATTAGAGTTAAGTCAAATTAAATCTCCAAGAATGAAACGATGCCTGGTCGCACGATTAACAATACATGATCAAACGCTCACATGTCCGTGATCTTTTTATAGTTAATCATTCTGTTAAGCAGAATAGGATTATGGAGCACAAGGTCCTGACGGAAAGACTGGGACAGCTTCATCTAAAAGGCACATTTAAACGCTCAGCTGCACCGCTCTGCGCATTCTGACGATTTTTTTTGTACCCCCCCCCCCCCCCATTTCATCCACGCCATTCTCTCTGTGTTTTCTGTTTCCTCTATTCTTACACAACTATTTTCCCCCTCTTGGTAATCCACAGGGGAAAACACGGAATTAGTTTGTAAAGCGTGATAATAATGCATGGCCATAATAACTTGACTCGAGAGGATTAGCAAATGCACATTGTCTGAAGCGGCAGTCTCCCGGGTGATCTGTTGGTTGCCTCCCTAAACAGTGGCTGCCTCTCCCAATTAAAAATTCAGTCTAGTCTGCCTCTTCAAATGATTAATTCTGCCCACGCTGTCGATGGCCTGCCAATTATTGTCTCCCAACCGGTATTAATAGGTAGAGGATTTCCTGATGTTGAATTTATCATGACTGTGGAAACTTCTCCCTCTGGCTCTAATTAGCTTATGGATATAACTCGTGCAAAAAAAAACAACAACCCTAAAAACAATTTTAGACCGTTTAAGTTTGTGTCTTATTTTTGATCCTGCTTCGTTTCTTTTTCCAAATGACCATTTCTGCCTTCAAAACGTGCAGACATTTATAGAAAGCGAAAGTCTCTGGACGGATTAAACCCTGCGAGTCGGCCCTCATGCAGTTAAATAACATGCAATCAAATCAAAAAAAGAACAAGCATTTGTGATTCAGCTCATAAGACTGACAGGCAAACAGTCTCAGCGCTCTGCTCCAGTCTGCCGACCAAGGCAACCCTGATATCAATATTAAGCTTGTRTTGGCTATCATTCTGTTAATGCATTAAAAAAAAGGGAGATATTGCCGTAGACCACAGCCAAGCAGACGCACATTAAATCACGGAATAATCTGATGAAATATTTATTCACGTTTTTTTTTCTCCTCCCTCTCAGAGTTAGTGTGATAGATAGGGTTTCTTTGTGAGTCGTCCTCCCATTAAAGCTCAGCCTGGGGAAGAAAAAAAATAAATAAACCCAGAAACAAATACACAACATATGCACAAAAAGACAAATGATGCCGCGTTTGGGGGGCTTCAGTTTTCTCAGTTAAGTTTAAAGGTTGTGGCATTAATAAAATTAACCTTCGGATTTTTTAAAGCACCACCCCCTCTTTTTTTTAAATTACAAATGTGAGTCCATCTACATGTTCTCTAAACGTGTGTTCCTTATGGTGAGTGTCAAAGATCACTGCACTGCTGTAGGACAGCATCCCCCCTGAGGAAACAGATGGGCTGAACTCACAGATCATAGAGGAGGCCGTAGATGCGGCATGGATGGTGCATATATGCTGCGTTGATAATGTAAATTTAATTACGGAGTATTAATCTTGGTACAGTCAGGGGAACATGTTTCACCTGCGAGGTGAAAAGCTCTTATGTGAGTTTGAGTGAGATAAGTTGGACACCCATATGAATAATAATATAATTACATCAGAAGGGAAAATTGGCCGGGCTTTTTAACTCGTATGGTTATGGAAATTTAAAACACAGACAGTTTCTGTTGGAGAAAACTGCAGTCATGTAATAAAAATTCAATAGCTGGGTTTTAGTCATGTGGTTTGATGATGCATGATTTCAAATGGAGGGCAGAAAGTAAAGCATCTACAGATGAAACGGTTGCATAAGGTCAGTATAGTACAGATTTAGATCCAGTTTTGAGAAAAACATACTAGCATTTAGTTCACAAATATGTTGGACRGGACCCACATATCATGAAGTTGAATGAATTTTTAACAGAACCTAAAGATTTGTAGACAATCAAGGCTGTCGATATCACAAACTATCTGGTCCTTCAGACGTCACACTACACACCAAACAGCAAA